GAGCATCTGCCCAGCTATTGACGGTGCGGAAGCTGAGAGCTCTGTCCCTGACAACAAACTCCTCCGCTCATGATTCCAAACTGTCCCGAGGCTTAGGGGCGCCTCCGGCCTCCACTGCAAACCCCACGCCCGCTGTAAGGCCTTCCCTACCCTACCTGTGTGCTGCGTGTCTCGCTCACCTAGCCCTGCCCTCCCAGAGCCTTCTCAGGATCAGCCAGATAACGACCTCCTGTCCCTGGCAGGCTGCCTCCTCCTCCAGTGTCTCAAGAGCCGGCCTCCGTCTCCCCTGACCGAGCCCTGGTCCCACCAGCGGCCTGGCAGACCCAACTCCATCCTGGCCAGCTGTCCTGAGGTGGAGGCTGGGGCTCCGGGTGGGGTGGGGTGGGGTGGGAGCAGGTGCGCGTTCCCATGGCCGCGGGAGCTGCGAGCCACCAGCTGGCACGCTCCTCTCCTTGTGCCTGTCTCATTTCTCATTGGCTCCAGACTCAGGGGAAGGAGGCAGGGGTGTGGGGTATGGGCCTCCTAAAACCCAGCACCGACCAGTCACCCCCCTCCCCTGCAGGCTGTCCCAGGACCCGTCCACCTGCGCCCCTGAGGGAGGCCTACCGGCATCGCTCAGCCACTTCTCCAGCAGCGGCTTGAGCTTGCACATGTTCTTGAAGCTTAGATTGAGGGCCTCAAACCGTGAGATGGTGGTCTGGCTGAAGTCGTTGCCGTACAGCTTCCCCATCGCCAGCCCCACGTCCCCCTGGGGGCAGGGAGGGGGGATGAGAGACAGGCCTCTACTCTGCCAGGTCCACACCCGCCACCCGAGCACCACCTGTCCCCTCGGCTCCCCTCTAGGTGGCTCCCCCTAAGAGGGGGACTGTCTTATTTCTGAGGGTCTGTGCCCACAGACCTGGCCCTCGCTGGCTCTCATTTCTCTCCCCTCCACCACCATGTCCTCAGGGCCACAAAGGGCTCGTGCACAGGCGCAGGGTGGGCTCGCCCCCAACACGCCCAGCCTCAGGGTGGTCTTGAGACCTGGCCTCGAGGAGCCCCGTCTCCTGTGTCTCCCCACAGACCCGAACCTGTGTGAAGCCCAGCTTGATGCGCCTCTGCTTGAAGGTCTTGGCAAACTTCTCCAGCTCCTCCAGGTCGCTGGGCTCATCGGCGCCCCCAGAACCAGGCAGATGCTTCGGCACCGGGAGATGCTGGGGCACTTCCAGGTGGGGGTCTAAGGAGGGTCCCGGCAGCCCCGGGCGCCCGACTGCCTAAGAGGGAGCACAGGCCAAGCAGACGCAGACAGTCAGCATAGCACGGCAGTACCGTCGTTTACTAACGGGCGGCTTAGAAGACGGCGGGTCCTGGCTGACTGAACGCCTACATTGGAAAGGGCCGTTTATATGAAGGGCGAGCAGTCACCTAGGCCAGCGGGGGCGAAGCAGCAAGTGGGCCGGCCATCGTCCGCTGGGTTTCAGCTGTGACTCGCCGACTTGGGAAAGTTCTCTCCCTCCTGTGGGTTTTCCACTATAAAAGGAGCCAGCAGGCTTGTCTACAGATTCCAAAGAGAAATCTCAGGACAAACAAAAGGTTGTTGGCTTTGTCTGTTTTTACCCCCAAAGCAAAGTCCCGAGGTGTTCAACAGGCATTAACTGTAGATAACACGGGACATCGGACACTGTTACCTCAGTAGAATTCTGCACAATGTCAAACTCCTGTGATGGGCATTTTACCTGCTAAACCACCCATTTTCACTCATTAGAATGCTTCAGTTTTTGCCTTTTTTGTTGTTTTGTTTTGTTAATCCTCACCCAAGGATATTTTTCCATTGATTTTAGAGAGTGGAAGGGAGAGGAAGAGTCAGAGTGAAACACTGATGTGAGAGAATCATGGATGTCAATTGGCTGCCTCCCACACGTGCCCTGACCTGGGCCGGGGATCACGCCTGCAACCTACGTACATGCCCTTGAACAGAATCAAATCCAGGACCCTTCAGTCCATGGGCTGATGCTCTATCCACTGAGCCAAACTGGCTAGGGCTGCTCTTTTTTTTGTTTTTGTTTTTGTTTAAAATCAAAGGCATTTTAGTGCTCTCTAAATGCACTGTGATCTCATCTGTGGTTGTCAGGAGAACTTTTTTCTTTCGTTTATTTTCATAGGAAAATGGATCCTTAATCCTAGAATCCATGTTGTACCCAGGTGCACGTTGGACCTGAAGACATCGATCATCCCCAAGGAGGGAAGGCCACCCAGGCTGAGGGGCCACTGCAGGGCCACTGCCCATGTGGCCAACGTGGCCTAAGTCCACCCTCTGATCTCCCCTTCCCAGTTACTCTTCTAGACCGGGGCTAGCTTTCTGTCTTTTTCCATCCAAGACACTCGGGGTTACCATGATGACAGGCGTTGTTCTGATGGGGAAGTAAAGGACCTGAAGGAGGTTGAGGACTCCTCCCCAGCGAAGGGCCGTTTGCTGGGGTCCAACCCCAGCAGGTCCAGGGGTCCCCCATAGGTGTGGACGGAGTCGGCGAAGAAGGAATGACATGGAGACTGCGTTCAGTTGATCAGCAGCCTAGCCAGGATCTCCAGCCAAGTTCTGGTTTGGATCTCCAGAGAAGTTCTGCCGTTTATTGTCTTGTTACATCCGTATTTATACCAATTGATTTTAATCCTGTCAATTTCTATTACAAAGGTTAGGGCGTTTCTTATCTCCATTCCAGGGAGTAAAGATTATGTAGCTTAAGCTTAAGCACGATTGTTTGTAGTTAAAGTGATTAATTACCTGCCTGGCACTTAGTTAAGAGGTTTTATTCCCTCCCTAACTTTAGGGGAAAATCCCTACCTGGGGAAACAACCTTTTTCGAAGAGGTGACCTTGGGTAAAACACAGCGCCAAGAAGGTGAGCAAACATATTAAGAACAGTATGCCATATACGCCAGGTCCCTTGAAACAGCAAGGATGGACCGGGTCCCAGCAGCTGTTGGGATGGAATCATTTTTAAGACGGTGATGGATCTGATCCTGTCGACAGAGACCAGACCCTCAGGACACAGCTCTGTCTTCTTGAGACGTCCTTTTCATTTGTGTATTTGTTCTTTTTAAAAAATATATATTTTATTGATTTTTTACAGAGAGGAAGGGAGAGAGATAGTTAGAAACATCAATGAGAGAGAGACATCGATCAGCTGCCTCCCGCACATCTCCCACTGGGGATATGCCCGCAACCAAGGTACATGCCCTTGACCGGAATCGAACCTGGGACCCTTCAGTTCGCAGGCCGATGCTCTATCCACTGAGCCAAACCGGTTTCGGCAGTGTGTATTTGTTCTTGCATCGGACAAATACCAAGTTCTTTGTTAGACCTTCACTTTCCCCCTTCACATCCAATTAGATGCCAAATTGCATTGATTCAACTTCCCCAAACATCTCTCATTCACCCCTCACCTCTTTCTCATTGCCATCACCCTAAGCCAGTCACTGTCACACTGTCCAGGATGCTCAGAGATGCAAGAGCTGACCTGGAGGAACGCAGGGAGCTTATGCTTCTAGTGTCCTGTTCCCATGAGCCACTAGGTGGCGCTGTCCATGCAGGTGTCCCGTGACTAGCCTCCTAAGCCAGGGCCCATAGTGATCCTTGGGAATCTCAGCATAGAGAGGGGGCCTTGGGGTTCACTACTGCAGAACCACCTCAGGCAGCTGTGCAGACAGGAGTGACAGCCACAGCACAGCCTGGCTACTCTTGCCAAGCGTGCCCCCCTACACCCATGAGGCCACCTTTGGCCCAGGTGCAAGGAAGAGCCACTGGCTTTGTGGTCTCCCCTCGGGGCGTAAGGGCTGGCCATCACTGTGGGTTCTGGGGAAGTTAGCTGGCCTCTGGTTTTGAGGTGGCTGTGCTGGAGTCTGGCTGGGGGTGGGAGTGCCTGCACTATGGGGTGGGCTAGGCCAGGAGCTGGTCACTAGTCCTCATTCAGCCTCCACCACTGACAGTGGCCCACCCTCCCTGACTGTGGCTGTCATTCGCCTGCCTACCATCAGGGCGCATCCCCGGCTACTCCCACTTCCCAGGGAGGCAAGAGCCCAGCAAGGGGAAGACCAATGGGCTGAGCTCCGTCGCACTCCCGGGGGAAACCAGGGACATGTGGGCTTACCTGAGATGCCAGGCCAGGTCCAGGCTGTGGGAGGAGCAGGGGGCTTTGCTGCTGTGGGAAGGGGAGAAGATTGGGCTGCAGACCTGGTGAGAGGGGGACAAAGGTCAAAGGAATGAAACCCAGGCCACGTGACAAACACCTTCTGCGGCTTTGGAAACGTGACAGCTCTCCTTACCCCCCGCTAATGAACCAAGTCCCACAGCCCACCTCAAGCCCCGTGGAGAGGCCCCATGGGCGCTGCCAGGCATCACCACACACAGCCCGAGGCAGAGCAGACTCAGGGAGAAGCAGATGTAAACCGCAGTCCCCAACCAGTCCTGCTCCCCCCAGCCCTCCTGCCCGCCCGCCCAGGGCAGGGTAGAGGCTGAGGGCCCAGCAATCTGTCTGAGGTGGACACCAGGGTGAGGGGAGCCCAGAAGGAAGGAGGCTGGAGAGACCCCGTGGGCAGGAGATGCGGGTGTGAGGACTGAGGGTTCCAGCTGCAGCTGAGAATGTCCTGCTGCCTGGACAGCTCCATAGGCCCCGCCGTCTGCGAGGATGTCAGAACACGGGGATGGGCCACTGGCGGGGCCCCAGGCGGGACGCTTTACATGGGGAGAGGCCTGAGAGAAGGGAGAGCAGCCGGGCTTCTGAGACTCCATCTGGTGGTGGGACTCTCCTGCTCCCCCCGCTCGCCTGCTCTCCCCCGGGCAGGCGTCCCCATAGGAGTCTCCTGGTTGGTGGTCACACCAGTGTCTTCCTCAGGGAAGGTCACAGCCAGGCCTCTTGCTGCCACTCGGAGCAGGGCCACCACACCCCACAGCAGAGGGGGGCCACCCCGACCGCTCAGCACAGAGCTCAGCCTCGGGGTCTCTGTGGTCCCCAAGCTGGTTTAGGTCACTAATGCAGAGCATCAGCTGATGTTAAACGTTATGCTCCTCAGTCTAAAAAAACTCAGGACTTGGTTTTGTTTGTTTGTTTGTTTGTTTTTGTTAACCCTCACCCAAGGATATTTTCCCATTGATTTTTAGAGAGAGTGGAGGAGAGGGAAAGACAGAGAAACACTGATGTGAGAGAAACACATCGATTGGTTGCCTCCCACACAAGCCCTGACCAGGGCCAGGGGTCAGATCAACCTGCAACCAAGGTGCGTGCCCTTGAGTGAGATCGAACCCGGGATCCTCCAGTCCTCAAGCCAATGCTCTATCCACGGAGCCAATCTGGCCAGGGCAGTGTTTCATTATTAAAATAAATGGGCAAGAATGCTGGCCGGGGAGTGCTAGCCGTAACCGAGCATTCACGTTGTGTTTTGAAGTGACGGAAGACTTTTCACGTGCTTTATTGCAGGCGATCCCATCACCTTGGGAGGTTGAGTTTTACTTTTTTATGGAGGACATAAAACCTCAAAGAGCTTAAGGTAAGTTTCCCAAGAACACACAGCTAGTAATTTTTACCAATGAGCTTTTTGACTCCAGATTTTGAACTGGGCTTTTAATTGTTGGTTGTTTGCTGCTCAGCATTATGTTGGCCTCACTGGCTGTATGCCTGGGCCGATTTCATATCATTGTCGACCAACAGGACACCGAGTTCAGGAGTGTGATACGTATTATTCTGCCGAGACAAAGGCTTCAAGGTTCAAACACATTCTGGCTCATCATGATGGTGACACCTGAGATGCCGGCACCGAGGGTGGGGCTGGATGCAAGCCGGCGCGGGGGCAGGACCGCAGCTCCGCAGCTCCGTTGGCCCTGGATTCTGGAGCTTACACTCCTCCATGCTGTTTGGGCGAGTTGATGGATAGAGGAGGCGGAGAGGTGGCAGAGCAGATATAGGAGGTAGAGGGTCAGGAGAAGGGTTTTAGGCAGATAATTCTGAAACTTTCTAGGTCACCAGAGGCATAATATGAGTACCCAGTGCACACAGTTATTTTGAAAAATAAATCAGGAAAACCACTCAGCAGAGCTTCTGGCACATCATGCTCAAGCGACGTTAGCAGTGATGATAAACATTGTGTTTTATTTGTTTGTTTGTTTGGTAATCCTCACCTGAGGGCATTTTCCCATTGATTTTCAGAGAGAGCAGAAGAGAGAGGGAGAGACAGAGAGAAGCATTGATGTGAGAGAAACATGCAGGGCCTGGGCCAGGGAGGAGCCTGCAACCCAGGCATGTGCCCTTGACCGGAATCGAACCCAGGACCCTTTGGCAGGCTGACGCCCTATCCACTAAGCCAAGCTGGTGAGGGCACAATTGTTACAAATATTCTAACCCAGGGGTCCTCAAACTACGGCCCGTGGGCCACATGCGGCCCGCCGAAAACATTTATCTGGCCTGCCGGGTGTTTTTGCCACCGCTGCCTGTTGCTTAGCAGCCGACTAGTTTTTTTTTTAAACTAAAGTCCGGCCCTCCAACGGTCTGAGGGACAGTGAACTGGCCCCCTGTTTAAAAAGTTTGAGGACCCCTGTTCTAACCCCTTGCTCTTGGCCAGGTTATCTGGAGGTTAAGTTCTGGCCAAAGAAAACCTGGCAGCCTGTGGGTGGCACTGCTGCTCCACCGAGGCCTCCCAGTCCGGCTTCCTGAGGGACGTGGAGAGAACTGGGGCCTCTGCATGGCATTTCCCAGGAGCCACTCCTTCCTGCACTGCCCAGGTCCCGCCCCCTCCCCTTCAGCCTCAAGTGGCCGTGACATCAAAGAAGATGGGAAAGGGAAGAAGAGAAGGTGACGGCCTGGAGGGGCAAGGACAGGGTCCCTAGCGCAGGCCGTGATCGGGAAAAGCTGATCTTAACACCTCGCCCAGATCCCACCGGGCTCCCTCGCCCAGCAGCAGCGGGGCCAGCAGCGGGGCCAGCCAGCAGCAGAACCTGGGCCACACTAGCTGGTCTCACCTTGCTGCCCCGGCTGAGTCTGAGAGAGCAGGAACTGCGAGACGGACTGCAAGTGGCCGGGAACCAGCACGAGCTGCTGGAGGGGATGGAGGGACGTCAGGTCCTGCGGGAGAGAGACACATCACAGGACTCAGCCAGACCGCCCCGTCGCCGCTGCCCATCTATCCCAGGCCTTCGGACGCGCGAGTGCGGCAGTGACCTGGTCTGTGCCCCTGCGTGTCCCCAGTGTCTGGGACGCCGTCACTGCTCCGTGAATGCTGATGTCATTACGGTACAGCCAGGAGGCCTGGCAACCTGCTGTCACTACAGCCTGGCCTGTTGTTAACGTGTGTGTGTCAGTCCTGTCCCCCAGCGAGACTGCAAATGCCCTGGGGCAGAGCCTAAGTATTCTCACCTCTCAGACGTTTACTCTAAAAATGACATGCAGTCCCAACTGTCCAATTTTTGAAATCTCATGGCACTTTATTATGCTAGAAGCCAAGTCTTGGCCGTTTCTGGGTCCAAACCGTCTCTCCTGGAGGAAGGCAGCAAGCTCTTGGTTCTCAGTAAACCCCACTGGGTTCCACAGACAGTCCATACCCCGGGGCTCCTCCCACCAGCCCGAACCTGGCAATCCCAGTCCCCAGATTCCTCCCAAGCAGAGGAGTGGGTGCACATCCCGGTTTAAATTCGGCCAGAGAAGGGGGGCCTCTCTCCTCCTCAGTGAGCCAGGCCCGACAGGAGCTCCCACATGAACGCCTGCTCACACACTGTGGGCTGTGTATGGACACCCCCTTCTTCCCTGGGCCAGGACCCCCTCCAGTTTGGCTTTGACGTAAACACTTGAGAGGGGAGCGGGCATCGAGGACAGAAACACCTGTAACTGCGGCCATGGCTGCTGTCCCAGGCGCCCCAAGCACGAGCAGGGCCAGGCCCCACCCCGGCGGTGAGGCCACTGTTTCTGCAGGATTGCCTCCTCCTCTCCCAGAAAGCAGACACCTCACCTCTCCTATAACGAGCTAAGCTGACTTTTGAAAGGACTGTTCTGGAACCTCACTCCACCCCAGCTCTCCAACCTCTTTTCGCACCCCGAGGGGCTCTTTAGACTAATACAGGTTCACCGCGCCCAGAGGCCACGCACTGTGCTGGGGAGAGCCCACTGCCCACCAGGAGTGCCAGGGCTCCCCGCAGGGCTGGCATTTACCCCAGACACTTGGCTTCCAGGCATCATGGCAGGTCCCTGGCTCAGGGGGCATGGCCGGTGCGAGAGTGTCTGCTGCAGGGAGTCGCTGAGGTCCTCGGTTTTAATCTGTAAGTGGAGGCAGGAGGGGAGGTTCAGTCTGGGCCTCCCAGACCAACAGGAAAGGAAACTTAGAGATCGGGGCAGGAGGCGAGTGGTAAGTCTGAAAATAAAGAGCCAGCTCAGCCCCTCAGGGGTTGAGCATCGACCTATGAACCAGGAGGTTACGGTTGGATTCCAGTCAAGGGCACAGGCCCGGTTGCAGGCCCCCTCCCCCGAGGTGGTGGTTGAGGTGGGAGGGGGGGTGCATCTGGAGTTTCCTGCGTGTGCGCCCTCAGGCCCGGGAGGCTGGGGGGACAGAGGGCGTGTTGAAATGAGAAAGAATAAGGATGCTGCGTGACGGAAACTTCGTTTGGAGCCTGAGAGGATGTCTTCGGGGGAGGGGGTGAGACTCTCATGAAGTGACGGTGACCCTGATACTTTACAGTCCCCTCACCCTTTCCCCGCCTCCCCTCTTCGGATTGTCATTGCCCACAAAGTCTCCAAATCTGGAGCCACTCATCTGAAGACCGACCCCCCCGCAGCTGAGCGCCCTCTGCAGGCGGGAGTGTCCCCGCCCCCCGCGGC